GTGGCGGTCTTCCGGCGGCGCGTCAAGGAGGCGGCTGAGGCTGCTCTGGCTGCCGTGCTGGCCTTGGAGGCCGGTCTGAGCGCCCAGCAGCGCGGCGGGCGTCTGGCCGGCACGGACTTCCTCGGTGAGTGCGGACGGGCCGGGCCGGGGGCTGGGAGGGGGGCAAGGGTGGGTGGAGCAAGGCCCGAGGTGGTCCGCGCTGAACCCACGCCCCTGCCCCGCCCAGGCGTGGACTTCGCGCTGACGGTGGCGGGTGGCGCGCTGATCCCGGTGGCCCTGGAGCTGAACAGCGGGCTGTGCCTGGAGGCGTGCGGCGCGCTCGAGGGGCTCTGGTCGGCCCCGCGCTCGAGATCCGCCACCGAGGAGGCGGCGGCCGCCGCGCCGCTCGTGGAGACCATGCTGCGGCGTTCGGCGCGCTGCCTCATGGAGGGAAAGCATCTGCTGGTGGTCGGCGCGGGCGGTGTCAGCAAGAAGTTCGTGTGGGAGGCGGCGCGCGACTACGGGCTCAAGGTGGGCGGGGCGCGGGCGGAGCCAGTCTCGGGAGCGGCCCGAATGGTGGAGGCGGGGCCTAGGCAGGGGTGGGGCCGGTTTGGGGGCGGGGCCATCGCCACTAGGGGCGGGATCTGCTGGGGGCGCCGGCCACCTAGCCCGGGTTAGAAGTCAAAACTGGGCCCCTAGCCCAATTCTGTCCAGGTCAGTTTTAAGCGGAGCTCAGGGTAGACAGCCTGGGGGGAGCGGGGACGGCGTTCAGGGTTAGTGCCAGAACCCGGGCTCTGAATGCCAGGCTGAGGAGCCTGGCTGCAGAAAGGTCGGGCGCTTCCTTTGAGGTTGAATTCCTGAGGGCAAGAGGAGTGTGCTGGGGAGCAGCTTACAGACCCAGAATCACACTCCCAGCAGCGGGCTTGTTACAGGATCTGGGGCCACGCAAGCCCACTGGCCATTCTTATCCCCATTGAACAGCTAAGAAAACGGAGGCCGAAGGCCCAGGCCTTCTCTGGCCCCACCCAACCACATGGCCTCCTCTGCCCTCCCCCACAGTACAACACCCCCCAGGCAACCCTCCCCTCCAGCCATTCCCATGCTTCTTCGTCTCCTGCCTTACACTGCATTCGTCTGGACTGTCTCCTCACACTGCCGAGGGTTACAGCGCTACCCTCCCCGCCCTCCTCAGGGGCTGCCTCTGCCCTGGGTACCAGCTGTTTTGTGTCTGCTCCCCCAGTGGGCAGTGAGCTTTGGAGGTGTGGGGGCCCCCCCTGGATTCTTCTGTGGGCACCTCCCATTTGTCAGGGCACATTGGATTAATGGTGACCCAGAGCATAATGCCCCAAGACACCAGACCACCTGTCCCGAGCCCCCAACCTGGTGGTTTCCTTACAAGCCCTGGCCGGAGTGAGGCTGTCTGTGGGGACGGGCCCACTTGTTCTCCTCACCCTTCCGCTCTGCCTTCTTCCTCCCGCTGCCAGCTTTCCTCTGGCTGCCTCTCATTCAGCTCCCAGCTCAAGCATGGCTCCTCCAGGATGCCTGCTCTCCCCTCCGCACCTTCCATTTACTCAATAACCAACAATTATTTCTCTGAGCTCCTGATGTTGGTGACCCCACCTCCCCTGAGGGCCAAGACCACCTTTGAGGCCCCAACCTGCCTCCCCAGCGCCCGGCACAGGCTCGTCTGAGCGTGTTGCCCTCCTGTGGTTTCTGCAGCTGCACCTGGTGGAGTCGGACCCCAACCACTTTGCCTCCCAGCTGGTGCAGACCTTCATCCACTTCGATGTGACGGAGCACCAGAGGGACGAGGAGAACGCACAGCTGCTGGCCGAGCTGGTGCGGGCGCGCGGGCTGCAGCTGGACGGCTGCTTCTCCTACTGGGACGACTGCCTGGTGCTCACAGCCTTGCTCTGCCAGGAGCTGGGTCTGCCCTGCAGCCCCCCAGCCGCCATGCGCCTGGCGAAGCAGAAGAGCCGCACCCAACTGCATCTGTTGCGCTGCCAAGGCCCGCCCTGGCCTGCGCCCTCCCTCCATGCTGTGCCTTGCTGCCCCCTGGAGAGTGAGGCCGACGTGGAGAGGGCTGTGCACCAGGTGCCCCTGCCAGGCGTCATGAAGCTGGAGTTTGGGGCAGGCGCGGTGGGCGTGCGGCTGGTAGAGGATGCATCACAGTGCCGCCAGCACTTTTCCAAGATTGCCCACGACCTGCAGGGTGAGGCAGATCACCCTGGCATTGGGCTGGGCTGGGGCAACTCCATGCTGCTGATGGAGTTCATTGAGGGCACGGAGCACGATGTGGACCTGGTGTTGTTCGGTGGGAGACTGCTGGCTGCCTTTGTCTCCGACAATGGCCCCACGCGGCTGCCTGGCTTCACTGAGACGGCAGCCTGCATGCCCACCGGGCTGGCTCCGGAGCAGGAGGCGCAGCTGGTGCAGGCGGCCTTCCGCTGTTGCCTGGGCTGTGGGCTGCTGGATGGCGTCTTCAATGTGGAGCTCAAGCTGACCAGGACCGGGCCTCGGCTCATCGAGATCAACCCCCGCATGGGTGGCTTCTACCTGCGAGACTGGATCCTGGAGCTCTACGGTGTGGACCTGCTGCTGGCTGCTGCTATGGTGGCCTGCGGCCTGCGGCCTGCCTTGCCCACCCACCCACGGGCCAGCGGCCACCTGGTGGGTGTCACTGGCCTGGTGTCCCAGCACCTGCAGGTGCTGAGCTCCACGGCCAGCCAAGAGGCCTTGCAGTCTCTTCATGAGCGGGGCCTGCTGCGTTTCAATCAGTTTGCATCTTTGGAGGAGGCCCGGGGACCCGGCGAGTATGAGGAGCCCTACTGCAGCGTGGCCTGTGCTGGGTCCAGCCTGGCCGAGGCCCGCCTGCGCCTGCTGGGCCTCTGCCAGGGCCTGGGCATCGACGGGCCCCACTACCCCGTGGCTCATTTCCTGTCCCACTTCAAATAGCAACTGGGGCCAGGGCGCAGGAGCAAATGCTGGAGGTGGCGCTGTGGTGCCGTCTGCTTCCTGACACTCTCCCTGCCTCTCTTCCCACAGCCCTGCCCCAACGCTGGCCTCAGGCCGAGGGTCCCTTCAGAGTAGCAGGGCCATTTTGACACCAGGCCTCCTGGGCTTAAGGGCCACAAAAAAAGTAACTGGGGCGCCGTGGGGCCCTCTTGCCCTTCCAAAAGTTCCAGTCCAGCTCTCAGCTGCCCCAGGACTCTGGCCAAGGAGAAGTGACAACAGCTGCACACACGCACACACACCCACACCCTGCCCCACCTGCAGGGAGGTGGGGGTGGGCCCAAACCTAGCCCGTCCTCCCCACCCCCCAAGCGTCTCTCTCTTCCTCCCATCCGCAGGAGAGAACCTGGCAGGCCCCTGGCCTTGGACAAATCCCAAGAAAGCCTGAGACTGAACCCCCATCCTCCGATCCCCACCACCTCCTTTAACAAATTCTGGAGCAGTGTCGCACCTGCCTCACGTGACCTGAGCAGCAGAGGCAGGTGGCCCCGGGGTCAGCAGTTACCATCTCCCCTCCAGGCAGACACGATGGTCTCATTCTGCAGATGAGGAAACATGCTCAAGGCAGAAAAAACACGCCCTCGAGGTCATGTCGAGGTGGATGGAATGACGAGGGGAAAGATGCAGGGCCCAGGTTCCGCTTTTACTAAGTCTTACGTGCCCACTTAGTTTCTAGGCCTTGCTCGCCTCCTTGCCCTCATTCATAAGTGGCCCCGACACATGCAAACAGCCCCCTCTCGTGCACCAGGCATCTTCTGCACCGAGTTTGGATGCTTGGCCTCTGTGTACAGCTAACCAGCACTGGCGGGGGAGACTCTGCGCTCCCTTCCTAACTCAGGGGAGTCGGCTTTAAGAACTCCTGCTCCACGAGCACCCCTCCCCAAATAAAGGCTTAAGGACTACTGGAACGTCCAGAATCTGGGACAGGTTCTTGCAACTGGGACAACACCTCTCAGGCTCAGCTAGATGGGGTTGGGGAAGGGAGGAGGGAGAGGTGGCCAGGGGGTACCCGTGGCACCTGGAGCTGAGGATGACTGCCGCACTGGCCAGGCCTTTGGGTTGAGCGGTGGGAGCCTGCTGGGGGCACCCCCCCACCCCCAGGCTGCAAACCCGAGGGCCTCCTGAGGGTGGAATTACAACCAGAGGGCCACATAATAGATAACCTTCCTCTAGCATGGAGACCCCTGAGATCTGTCCATCTGAGTTTGTATCTACTCATCCAAGGCCTCCTCTGGCCCAGATTCAGCCCTTCAGAGCCCCACCCAACGAGAATCCATGGCCAAGTCTTCATCCATTCTTTTAACAAAGTTTTGGTTTTTGTTTTTGAAATTTATTTTTAGAGAGAATGAAAGGAGGAAGGAAGAAAGAAATATCAATGTGTGGTTGTGGTTGCCTCTCGTGCGCCCCCATCTGGGGACCTGGCTGCAACCAGGCATGCGCCCTGACTGGGAAACAAACCGGGGACCCTTTGGTTTGCAGGGCGGCACTCAGTCCACTGAGCCACACCAGCCAGGGCTTCTCTAACACTTGTATTAAGCCCCTATTCTGTACCAGGCTGCCAGATTACTAAATGTGCTTAAGTTGGCCACGGAGCAAATTCCAACATAAACCCACATGTACAGGTGGATTAATAAAACCCAAATCCTTTCTGGCAGGAACCTAACAACAAAGCCCGGAGGTAAGCTGGGCACGGAACAGTCATGCAGTAAACACTCTGACCGGCAGGTGCCTCGGAGGCACGACAAGGAGAGGCTGATGCAGCCGACGGTGCCCCTTTCAAACTCTAACTCTCTCCAAGAGCCAAGAGGGTAACTTCCCAGGCTGCCGCTGTCCGGTGCCGCTCCCTGGGAGCGGTGCTCTGAGGACTCGAGAGTTTCAAAGACAGACCCATAGGTTTTGGCACCCGGGCACCCTGAAACTACAATTCCCGAGAAGCCTTGCGACGGACGCCATCTTTCTCGCAAGTCCGTGCGGCCGGCTCCAGGGCGGGCGACGCCTCTTGCGTAATCGGCGCGCGCCGCCGCCGTCTCAGGGTGATAACGTTGAGCCCCTGCCCCAGCTGTCAGTCACAGCGCGGCCGGGCACCCGCGGAGGGGCTCGCGGGGCCTGCGCCTCCATGGCGGCCGTGTTTGACCTGGATCTGGAGACGGAGGAAGACAGCGAGGGCGAGGGCGAGCCGGAGTACCCTGCGGTGAGTGGTCCGCCCGGGCGGGGCCCGATCCCGCAGCCGATCTCCTCGCCCTGGCGATAGGATCGCCTTGCAGCTTCCCCCACCCAGAGTAGGCCAGCTCTTGCAGACCCCCTTCTCCCTCAGATCCCGGCCCCTAGTAAGCTCCCACCCTCCCCTCACCCCGACCCGCTGTCCAGGACCCTAGCCTTTCCCCTGATTCTCCTTTTTCTGCGCTCGTCCTCTCCCTCCCCCGTCCTGGCGCATCACCTGCCAGCTCCCATTCCTGACTCTCTCTTCCCCTGAGCCAGGCAGCCCAGCTTGTGGGGGAGGGGTCCCTGTACCTCCCTTGCCTCTTACCCCTCGGTTTCTCACAGGACGTGTGTCCCCTTGCCGAGTCGAGGGCGGCTGGCCTGGAGTGAGTGAGGGTCGTGCTGGGGGAGGAGCAATGGGCTGGGGAAGGGAACTGGGGCGTATGGAGCCTTGTCCCCATCGACTTCCTGTGTCTACAGGCCCGTGGGACACTACGAGGAGGTGGAGCTGACCGAGACCAGTGTGAACCCTGGCCCTGAGCGCATCGGGCCCCACTGCTTTGAGCTGCTGCGTGTGCTGGGCAAGGGGGGCTATGGCAAGGTAGGGGCCCCGCCTCCTTCCTCTCTGGCCCCCCAGTGAAGGCTTCTCCAAACAAACAGACTTGTCAATCAGGAGAGCCCCGGACAGAACTCGGAGACAGAAGCAGTATTAAGGAGGGAAGGGCAAGTCCTCTCAGAGTCAGACTGGAGATCATTCCTGCCCCACCCTTGGGTGGATGTCAGCCTCTGGATCCCAAGGGTCAGGGTGGGGGCTTTCCAAAGACAGGGCGTGGGGAGGGAAGTTGATCCGGTCTTCCCTGCCCCGCAGGTGTTCCAGGTGCGAAAGGTGCAGGGCACCAACGTGGGCAAAATATATGCCATGAAAGTCCTGAGGAAGGTGAGTCATCCGTTCAGCCAGCGAATGTTCACCGAGTGGCCGCCATTCCAGATGCACTGCGCTAGGTTTTGGGAAGACAGCAGTGGGCATGATGAAGGAGACAGTCCCTGTGCTGGGCATTTGCCAGTTTGCTGTCTATGCTGATTACAGTCATGTTCTGCTTAACGAGGGCGTACATTCTGAGCAATGCGTTGTTGGGAGATTTCGGCGTGCGTGCATGCGAACTTCGCAGAGACACCTAAGCAAACCCAGGTGGTCTAGCCTCAGGCACACGGACGCCGTGTGGCGGCGCCTACGGCTCCCGGAGTATAAGCCTGGACAGCACATTGCCGAACAAAATAGCGCGAGATAGCATCAAGCACAAGAGAAAGAGATACGGTCCAGATATGCTGTAAACTCGAGATGCACGAGGCTGCTGCCGCTGTAACACGGCACTGTTTTACAGCAGGCTTTTTTTTTGAGGGGGAGGGGGTGGTGGATTTCTTTTTATTCATTTATTTTTAAAATATAGTTTATTGATGATACTATTACAGTTGTCCCAATTTTCCCCCCTTTACCCCCTTCCACCCTGTAACCCCATTCCCTCCAGCAATCACCCCCTTAGTTCATGTCCGTGGGTCAGACATATAAATTCTTTGGCTTCTCCATTTTCTACCCTGTTCTTAACCTCCCCTGTCTACTCTGTACCTGCCAATTTGTGGTTCTCGCTCCCTGCACCACCTTTCCCCACATTCTCCCTCCCCCTCCCAGCTGACAACCCTCCGAATGATCTCCGTATCTGTGATTCTGTTTCTGTTCTGCTTGTTTGCTTTGTTTTTTAGATTCCGTTTTTTGATAGTTGCGAATTTATCACCATTTTAATGTTCTTAGTTTTGATCTTTTTCTTATGATTCCCTTTAACATTTCCTATAATAAGGGCTTGATGATGGTGAACTCCTTTACCTTTACCTTGGCTGGGGAGCACTTCATCTGCCCTCCCATTCTAAATGAAAGCCTTACAGTAATCTAGGTTGTCGGTCCTTGGTTTTCATAACTTAAAAAATTTTTTAATGTATTTAATTGATTATGCTATTACAGTTGTCCTATTTCCCCCCTTTACTCCCCTCCGCCCTGTGCACCCCCTCCCACCCACATTCCCCCTTTTTAGTTCATCTCCGTGGGTCATACATATAAGTTCTTTGGCTTCTCCATTTCCTATACTATTCTTAACCTCCCCCTGTCTATTTTCTACCTGCCATTTATGCTACTCATTCTCTGTACCTTACCCTCTCCCCTTCCCACACCCCTGCTGATAACCCTCCATGTGATCTCCATTTCTGTGTTTCTGTTCCTATTCTAGTTGTTTGCTTAGTTTGCTTTTGTTTTTGTTTTAGGTGTGGTTGTTAATAACTATGAGTTTGTTGTCATTTTACTGTTCATATTTTTTATCTTCTTTCTCGTAGATAAGTTCCTTTAACATTTCATAAAATAAGAGCTTGGTGATGATGAACTCCTTTAATTTGACCTTATCTGGGAAGCACTTTGTCTGCCCTTCCATTCTAAATGAAAGCTTTGCTGGATAGAGCAATCTTGGATGTAGGTCCTTGCCTTTCATGACTTGGAATGCTTCTTTCCAGCAAGGTTTCTTTTGAGAAATCAGCTGACAGTCTTATGGGCACTCCTTTGTAGGTAACTGTCTCCTTATCTCTTGCTGCTTCTAAGATTCTCTCCTTATCTTTAATCTTGGGTGATGTAATTATGATGTGCCTTGGTGTATTCCTCCGTGGGCTTATCTCCTTTAAGACTCTCTGAGCTTCCTGGACTTCTTGGAATCTATATCCTTTGCCAGATTGGGGAAGTTCTCCTTCATTATTTGTTCAAATAAGTTTTCAATTTCTTGCTCTTCCTCTTCTCCTTCTGGCACCCCTGTGATTCTGATTTTGGGGTGTTTAAAATTGTCCTGGAGGTTCCTAGGCCTCTCCTCACTGTTTTGAGTTCTTGTTTCTTCATTCTGTTCTGGTTGACTGTTAATTTGTTCCTTTTGTTCCAAACCGTTGATTTGAGTCCCAATTTCCTTCCCATCACTGTTGGTTCCCTGTCTATTTTTTTTCTGTTTTCTTTTTCTTTTTCTTTTTCCCTTGTCACACCACCGACTGGAGCGAAACAACACGACACGCTGCCGCTTCACCCAAAAGCGGTGTTTTCACTTTGCCCTTTCTGGACGGCGCAGTGGGTCATTAGTGAAAGGCCCAAAGAGTGCTTTTCAAAGGGGTTACATTTTCTTTTATTTCACTTAGCATAGCTTTCATTTTTTTCATCTAATTTGGGACCACATTCAACCAATTCTGTGAGTGTCCTGATTACCAGTGTTTTGAACCGTGCATCTGATAGGTTGGCTATCTCTTCGTCACTTAGTTGTATTTTTTCTGGAGCTTTGATCTGTTCTTTTGTTTGGGTCTTTTTGTCTCCTTGGGCCTGTCATGTAGTAAGGGGCGGAGCCTTAGGTGGTCACCAGGGCAGGGCAACCCATGTCTCTGCCTTGTGACGCTGTATTTGGGGGAGGACCCAAGAGGGAACAGCACCACTTGCTCCGCTCTCTGCTGGTTTCAAGCAAACTGGGCCCTTCTGGTGCTGATTCCTGGGTGGGAAGGTTTGTGTACGTTCTAGGACCCTGTGGATCTCTCCAGCGAACTCCTGTGAGGCTGGGAGTTTCTTCCGCTGCTGCCGCAACCCCCACAGGTGTTTTCAATCAGAGATTTGAGGCTTTATTTCCCCACACTGGGACCCTAGTTTGCGTGGTCTGTCTCGAGCCCCAGTTGTACCTCCCGGTTTATCTGCGTGCGAATGTGGGTCCATCCAGTCTGCCAGCTGCCGCCACCTCACCTGCTCCACCGGCCACTGCCTCCCCGTGTGTCCTCTCTGCCCAGCTGCCTGTCTCCGCCCCTCCTACCGGTCTGGTTGAGTGTCTCTTCTTTAACTCCTTGGTTGTCGGACTTCCATACTGTTTGATTTTCTGTCAGTTCTGGTTGTTGTTTGTTTTTAAATTTGTGGTTGTCCTTCTTTTGGTTGTGCGAGGAGGCACAGTGTGTCTACCTACGCCTCCGTCTTTGGTTTCCATAACTTTGATACTTGTTGGCAGTCTCTTCTAGCCTGCAAAACTTCTTTTGAGAAATCAGCTGACAGTCTTATGGGAACTCCTTTATAGGTAACTCTCCGCTTTTCTCTCGCTGCTTTTAAGATTCTCTTTTGCTCTGGCTGGTGTGTCTCAGTGGATTGGGTGCTGGCCTGTAAATCAAAGGGTTGCTGGTTCGATTCCCAGTTTAGGGCACATGTCTGGGTTGTGGGCCGGGTCCCCAGTAGGGGGAGTGCAAGAGGCAATCACACATTAATATTTCTCTCTCTTTCTTCCTCCCTTCCTCTCTCTTAAAAAAAAAGGTAAAGATTGATTTAAAAACAGATTCTCTTTATCTTTAACCTTTTGCATTTTATCTTTTTAAAGATTTTATTTATTTTATAGAGAGGGGAAGGGAGGGAGAAAGAGAGGGAGAGAAACATCAATGTGCGGTTGCCTCTTGCACACCCCAGGCATGTGCCCTGAATGGGAATCGAACTGGAGACCCTTTGGTTTGCAGGCTGGTGCTCAATCCACTGAGCCACACCAGGCAGGGCAACCTTTGGCATTTTAATTATGATGTGTCTTGGTGTGGTCCTCTATTTTGGGACTCTCTGTGCTTCCTGGATTTGCATATCTATTTCCTTCACCAAATTAGGGAAGTTTTCTTCATTATTTTTTCAAATAAGTTTTCAATTTCTTGCTCTTCCTTCTTCTCCTTCTGGCACCCCTGTGATTTGGATGTTAGTACATTTGAAGATGTCCCAGAGACTCCTTAGCCTATCTTTGTTTTTTTTTTCTTTTTCTTCCTGCTGTTCTAATTGAATGCTTTTTTCTTCCTTTTGTTCTCAATCATTGATTTGATTCTGAGCTTCATCCCCTCCTGTGTTGGTTCCCTGTAGACTTTCCTTCATTTCACTTAACGTAACCGTCGTTCCCGCCCGGGTCTGTCCTGTGCCGCTGAAGTGCCCAGGGAGTTCCCGGAGCGTCCCGGTGCCCAGTGAGCTGAACTGCGCACCGGGTAGGCTGCTCATCTCTGTTTCACTTAGTTCTTTCTTAGGAGTTTGTTCTGTTCCTTCATTCTTTCTCTGTCTCCTCACTTTGGCAGCCTCCCTGTGTTTGTTTCTGTGTGTTATTTGGTGGAGCTGCTGTGACTCCCCACCTTAGTCGTGTGGCCTGTGGTGGCAAAGGCACCTGTGAGTTGTCTGGGGCGGGGCCTCAGGTCATCGGCAGGGCCCGCGTCACCGCTCTACGGCTCTGCGTGGGAAAGGGCTCGCAGAGGGGACAATGCGACTGCCTGGCCTCTGGAGTTTTGTCCAGGAGGAAGCTGTCCCCTGGCACTCAGCCGGGTGCTAGTCACTTCACTTTCTCCCTGTGATGCCCCTGGTGCCCTTCCAGCTGCTGCCCCGGGAGCTGACTCCCAGAGGGCGTGGGTCTGCGTAAGTCCTAAGTGCATGGTTGGCCCTTTAAGAGAAGTCCCTTGTGAGCCCCACAGTTCCTTCCGCCACCCCAGCCCCTGCCGGGTTTCCTAGCCAGAAGGTGTGGGGACTTATCTCCCCGGTGCTGGAACCCTGGGCTGGGTGATCTGGTCCGGGGCTGGGACCCCTGCTCCTGGGGTGTCCCTTCTGATTTTTACCCACCACACATGGCCGTGGGACCGCCCGTTCCGCCTCTCCCTGCCACTGCACGTCTGCACACCTGACCCCGCTCTGTGCCCCCGCTCTGTGCCTCCGCTCTGTGCCTCCGGGCATCACCGCGTCTCCACCCCTGCTGCCCGCCTGGACGACTGTGGCTTCTTTCAATCTTGGTTGTCGGGCTTCCACGCAGCTGTATTTTCTGAGGGTGCTGGGGGATCATTGTTTTGTCGTCTAGTTGTCATTTTGTCTGTAGTCGTGCGAGGAGGCCAAGTATAGTTACATATGCCCCCACCTGGACTGGAAGTCTCACCGGGTGACAGTGAACTTGTGTGTAAGTAGCAAGAGTGCACTCTACAGTAGAGAAGAAAGTGTGTGTAGTGCACACACACACGTCAGGAACGCAGTCATTGGTCCTTGTGAACGGGCACCGTCTGCGCTCTGTGATCACATGTGCTCTCCTTTTGCACGCACAGCCGGCAGGTCCGGTTACGCCGGCACCACCGTGACCAGGCGAGGAACGTGTTGAGCTAGGACTCCGCCTCGTCACTGGGAGACAGGAATGTTTACCTCCGTTATGATCCGTGGGACCGCTGTCATGTGCGGGGCCCACTGTCGACCGGAATGTCATCGTGCGGCACGTGACTGCACATGATTTTTGCAGAGATTATCAGTCACGGGCAGTGTTGCCTCCCAGGGGACACTCGGCAGCGCCCGCGTCCCTTCCGGAGTCGTCGTGCCCAGAGAGGGTGCTAGTGGCATCCAGCGGGGGGTGGGGGGCCAGGGATGCTGCCGAGCATCCTGTAGCGCACAAGGCGCCTCCCACACCAAGGAGTTATCTGTCGCCCAGGACGGCAGGGGTGCCGCGGCCGAGACACACGGAGCCGGCGGAGGAGCCGGTCCCTGGGAAGGGCTGCTGACGGCGGCGGCGGCGGCGCGGAGAAATACAGTGGAGTGACAGACAGTGGCGGAAAGAGGACGGTGGGGGGCCCCGAGGGGGGCCCCAGACGCCCACCTTCTAACCAGCTCCTGCCTCTCCAGGCCAAAATTGTGCGCAACGCCAAGGACACGGCGCACACTCGGGCCGAGCGGAACATTCTGGAGTCTGTGAAGCACCCGTTCATTGTGGAGCTGGCCTACGCCTTCCAGACTGGCGGCAAACTCTACCTCATCCTTGAGTGCCTCAGCGGTATGCTCGGGGGCCCGGCCGGGGGCGCGGGCGGGGTGCACGCAGCCCTGGGGGCTCGGGGGGAGGCCTGAGAGGTGCGGTGTGTAGAGTGGCTAGGGGGCCCCCACACCCATCCATCCATCTGTCTGTCCATCCCGTCATTCATTCATTCAGCAAACATCTATCCGGCCCCTCGTGTGCCCCTCCCCTGTGTCCGGGGCGGAGGGGATTGGGGGGGGCGTTTGGTTAGAAGTCTAAGGGTTGTTTTGTCCGTTTCCACTGTCCCTTCATGTCCTGTGCCTCTCCCCTGTGTGCCCTGCATGCGGTCAGGCCCCAGAGCCAGCTGGGTCGTTCTCCACCGTGTTCTCCATCCTCACTGCGCTCTCTCGGGGGGAGGGGGAGGCGCAGCTGTGTCTGAACTCCGGCTCGCCCTCTCCCAGCATCCCCTCCGCCAGCCCCCGGGGCCCCGTGCCCAAGCCCGGCATCGTTCCAGACACCCCTCCTCAGAACGCACGGCTCCCCGTAACTGCCTGGCCCGGCCCTTCCCTGGGGCCTCTTGCTCGCTGTGGCGCGGTCCAGGCCTGCTTCTCCCGCTGGCCTGCCTGTCCCAGCAGGGCCCTGTGACCCCGTGCCCTGGCCTCCATCTCAGCGTCGCTCCGAGTCCCACCGCTGCCATGGACCCCCTGCCCCCTCACTGGGGTTGGTTCTGCCCCGCCTTGTCCGCTCTGGGAGGTGTTTCGGGTGGAGCTCTCGGGGCCGTGGCCCCGGTCTGGCGCGTCTGTCTCCTCTCAGCCTGAGCATCCGAGGGCCACGGCGGGGTCTCTTCCTCTCCGTGTCCCCAGCCTCGCCCAGCACAGGGCCCGGCACCGAGTGGGAGTCGGTAGATGTTTGCTGAATTGACCCCCACGGCAGCTCTGTGAGGCAGGTAGGGCGGGCACTCGGGGCCCCCCCCTCCCCTCGCAGAAACCTGGTCTCGGGGAGCGCAGGGGCTCGGGCCCGGCCCGCAGCCGCTGACGCGTGTGTGTCGCAGGCGGTGAGCTCTTCACGCACTTGGAGCGAGAGGGCATCTTCCTGGAGGACACGGCCTGGTGGGTGCTGCTTCCTGCCTCTCTCCGGGGGGCGCCAGGGGCCCGCCGTGGCCTTCACCCCGCTCTGTCTCCGCAGCTTCTACCTGGGGGAGATCACACTGGCCCTGGGCCACCTGCACGCCCAGGGCATCATCTACCGGGACCTCAAGCCCGAGAACATCATGCTCAGCAGCCAGGGTGCGTGCGCACGCGTGTGCGGCGGTGTCTGCCGGTCGGGGCCTGCGGGGTGGGCTGCGGCGCCCCCACGGGGCGGCCCGGGTCCCTGACCGCCCCTCCCACGTTCCCCCTCAGGCCACATCAAACTGACAGACTTTGGGCTCTGCAAGGAGTCGATACATGAGGGCACCGTCACCCACACCTTCTGTGGCACCATTGAGTACATGTAAGGGGCAGCCGGCTGGGCCCAGGGGCCGGGGGAGCGGTGGGGAAGGGCCTTGCCCCGCTGACGGTCCCCCCCCCGGCCCTCAGGGCCCCTGAGATTCTGGTGCGCAGTGGCCACAACCGGGCGGTGGACTGGTGGAGCCTGGGGGCCCTGATGTACGACATGCTCACTGGATCGGCAAGTCCAGCCTCCTGGGAGGGCGGGCAGGAGCGGGGTGGGGTGGGCTGGGTGGGGGAGCAGGCCCCTCTCCCGGGCAGGGGCAGGGCCCGGCGGGAGGCCCACGGGGCCCCTCTCACCCTCCGCCTCCTCCAGCCACCCTTCACTGCAGAGAACCGCAAGAAAACCATGGACAAGATCATCAAAGGGAAGCTGGCGCTGCCCCCGTACCTCACCCCGGACGCCCGGGACCTCGTCAAAAAGGTGGGTGCCTCCTTGCCCTTGGGTGAGCCCCCGTCTCTTCTCCCAGGCCCCGCACGGGTTCCCGGGTGCCCCCGGGCCGCAGGGGGCCACAGCCACCCCTGCCTGCGTGGCGTGCCTCTGGGGTGGAGGGCGCTGGGCTCGGGCACCCGGATCTTGAGCCTGGGCCGAGCGCCCACGCGGCAGCTGCTGACCTTGCACGAGTCCTCAACCTGCGTGCCAGTCCTTGCAGACTCTTCCTGATGAGCTAGTCGCTCCTCCACCAAAAAGGGGGGCGCAGGGCGGGGGTAGGCCCACGTGCAGAGTTGGGTCCCCACGAAAGCATCAGGGGTGATGCCAGCAACCACCTGCCTTTGTGATGGTGTCGTGGAGGAGCAGCCATTGGACTGAACCTCGGGAGCCCAGGGGTGTCGGCAGGTGGAGACCACACTCTGGAGGCTCCTCTCCCTGCTTCCCCCAACCCCAGCCAGCCCCGGGGAGCGTGGGGACATGCAAGCAGACCTGTCCGTGACCCCCACCCCCTGCCCTTGTCCTGCAGTTTCTGAAGCGGAACCCCAGCCAGCGGATTGGGGGCGGCCCAGGGGATGCTGCTGACGTGCAGGTGGGTCTAGGACCCCACCCCCACCCCGAGGGGTTGGTGGGGCCGTAGGGCAGAGGGAGTTACCAAGGATGCCAAAGTGGGTGAACCTTGGCATGCCTGGGGGCTCTCTGTCCACAGAGGCACCCCTTTTTCCGGCACATTAACTGGGACGACCTCCTAGCCCGCCGTGTGGACCCCCCTTTCAAGCCCTGTCTGGTGAGTGGAGGTCCTGCCGGCCCAGGGGTGGGGGGCGGGCCCCTCTCTCGGACACCCCCCGACCTCTCCCCACCTGAATCTGCCTGCAGCAGTCGGAGGAGGACGTGAGCCAGTTCGACCCCCGCTTCACGCGGCAGACGCCAGTGGACAGTCCGGACGACGCGGCCCTCAGCGAGAGCGCCAACCAGGCCTTCCTGGTGCGGTCTGGGGGCCCGGGGGCTCGGGGACGCGGGCGGGGGGCGTGGCCGGGGGCCGGGGGCGTGGCCGGGGGCCGTGGATGCTGAGCGCCGCCCGGCCCCGCCTCTGACCCCCAGGGCTTCACCTACGTGGCGCCCTCTGTCCTGGACAGCATCCGGGAGGGCTTCTCCTTCCAGCCCAAGCTGCGCTCCCCCAGGCGCCTCAACAGCAGCCCCCGGACCCCCGTCAGGTACCTCAGGGCGCTCACGGCTGGGGCGGGAGGCCCGTGCCCGCTCTGGCTCTGCCGCCAACCCCGGGGGCCGAGTCCCGTAGCCGGCGTTAGCCTGTTTCCCGTCCCCCACGGGGACCCCTCGTGGCAGGGGCTACCCGGGTGGGCACCCAGGCAGGTGGGCAGGCTGGCCCTCCTGCCCCGGAGCCGGTAGGCAGCGATTGTGCCTTGGTTTCCCCTGCAGCCCCCTGAAGTTCTCACCCTTTGAGGGGTTTCGGCCCAGCCCCGGACCACCGGAGCCCATGGAGCCCCCTCTGCCTCCTCTGGTGCCACCACCGCCACCGCCCTCAAGCACTGTCCCCCTGCCCATCCGACCCCCCTCAGGGACCAAGAAGTCCAAGAGGGGCCGTGGGCGCCCTGGGCGCTAGGGGACGGGGGCAGTGGGACCCTGGGGGCGTCTCGGGGCACAGGAGGGGGTGTGTGGGAGCGCATGTGTGTGTGTGTGTGTTGGGAGTGGCTGGGCCCCTGAATCATGAGTGCGAAGGGCCAGCCGCCGGTGGGGGCCTCCCGCGGCCGAGCTGCACCCTTGCGGAATTAAAGTGCCTGATCACGGCGGCCCCTGGCTCTTCCTTCAGCCGTCGAGGGCAGGTGTGGGCAGGGTCGTGCCCGAGGAGCCCCTGCTTAGGGACAGGAGGGCCACCACAGGACCAGAGGACCTCAGGGCTGGAAGGGTTTTATTTCAGGTGGGTGGCCTTCCTGGAGGAGGGGGGGTGCACAGCCTTGGGGACGAAACCGGGGGGCGGAGTGACAGTCTGAGGCCCTCCACGTGGGGTGTCGGTGACCAGGGCAGTCAGTGTCCAGTCATAGCAGCTGGGGAGGCAGAGGCACGGTGACAAGGGAGTGACCCCGGGGCCGGCCCCTACAGCGCGGTGACGTGGAGGCCCTGGCCCCCGGCGGCCCTGGCGCTGTCGTCCCAGGCCGCGCTGCCCGCAAAGGCGTGCAGGTCACTCAGCAGGGCCTCGGCGCTGCCCGCGGAGCCCTCCGGGCCCTGGGGGCCGAGGCCCGGGCCCCCTTGCACGCCGCCACTGGGCGCCTCCTGCGCGGGCTCCGGGCCGCGCTGGGGGCCGGGCTGCTCTCCCCGCCCCTGCTCCTCTCCCAGGGGTCCGGCCTCCTCCTGGCCCCCGTCAGAGCTGCCGTCCTCCACGTCCTGGTCCTGCTCGTCCTCCTCCCTCTCCAGGTCTTCATTGGTCGGCTCGAACTCGGCCCGGGCCCGGAGCCAGCGGCCTGGCGGGCTGGCCCAGAGCAGGCGGCGGGTGCGGCCCCACAGCGCCGCGCCCAGGCGGGCCGGGTGGTAGTAGCCTCCGGAGTCCCGGCTGAGGCGGCGCCAGGCCAGGGCCAGGCCAGTGGCCAGCAGTAGTAGAAGCAGCAGCAGCAGGACCACGGTGACAGTGCTGGAGCCCTGGCTGTCCTGGCCACTGCTGCCCAGGACCCCGGGCAGGGCCAGCAGCGTCCAGAGCCACGGGGCGCGGGGCAGGTCCTGTGGGGAGACAGGCGGGGGCTCAGCATCCTGGCTGGGCCAGGCCGTGGGCAGGCTGGGTGGCGGGGTCCTTGGTTGCTTTTTGGGCGAAATGGGAACAGTCGCGCAGAAAAACCCTTGCTTGGGTGACAAGGCCCCGGCCCTGGGGTACCTGCCCACTTCCTCCCTCCCACTGCACCCTAAAAGCCTGCTCCTGTTGGGGGGCGGTTGGAGGATTCTGTCTGGAACGCTCCATCCCCCCTCTCTTCCCTCCCAGCCACACGACTCCCCTGCTCACCTCGGCTCGGGGTACCTCGCGCCTCAGTGAAGCCTAGTCTGAGCTGGGCCGCTGCCCTCGTCCCTGCGGCCTGCCCAGCCGGCTCTCCCGCCTGCCCCCACACCCCGTCCTAACCCCACAGCTAGGTAAAGCTGCTTGTTCACTAGGGTTATTGTCGTATCACCCCCACCAGAATCGGCTGCAGGAAGACAGGTCTTTCTGGTTCAAGCACCTACACAATTCCTAGCACATAGTAGGTGCTCCATAACTATTGGTTGACTCAAAACTGCCCACAGGAGCAGCAGTGGGGATGGACCTGCAAGGCCAGTGTTGGGGTAGCCCTTCCCGAGGCCCGGGGTGCCAGAACCAGTCCCAAGGCACCTGTTCGCCGTCCACTTGGCCAGGTCTGAGGAAGGGGGCCAGAGACTCCCTTCTCGCCCCCAGGCCCCCGGGACAGCCCCGCCGCCGCCCCAGCTGCAGCGCTTCCGTTCAGTCCCACCCCCTGCCCCTGGGGGCCGCGGCGGCCCGGGCGGGCTGTGCAGCTGCCAGAGGAAGCCTGCGGTCGGAACAAGGCAGGTGGGGTGTGAGCGGGGGAGGAGGGGTGCAGGGCGCAAGCAGGACTCCCGCCCGGGCAGGCTCCAGGGATGCTCCCCGCGGAGCAGGGGAGGGTCTGCCCCCGGGTCTGGAGGGGGGTCTGGGCCCAGAGTGGGGCGCCGGGGCCACCACCTGAGCGCTGAGGTGGGAGGGGAAGGAAAGGCCCCATTCCTGCCCCATCCACGCCTGTCCTGGCTCCCTGGCTCTCGCCTCCCCCCCCACCCCGACTGGCTGCTGGTGGCCCCCAGCACCAGGAATTGTTCCTCCCTGCCCAGGCCCCCCAGCCCTGACCTCCAGTCGCCCCCACCCGAGGACGCAGCAGCGGGATCCAGCGCTCACCATGGGTCCGTGGGCCTCTCAGCGCCGGCGGCGTGTGGAGAAGTGAACTCTCGTGCTGTGCTCCACTGCAGCTAGGGGTTGCTTGACGCTTCCGCTTCCTGCCCACCACACCCCTCCCAGCCCTCCCTGCCGTGGGCCCCTCGGGCCTCTCGGGACCACTCTGACCACCACCAGATCCTCCCAGGGCTGTCACTGGGCCAGGCTCGGGCTACGGAGCCCGGGGCCAGGCTGCCAGGAGGAGGGACTGGGCCCCCAGCTCCGAGCAGGACATGGCTCTAGAGGTTTCTGTGTGTCCTCAGCCTCGGTGCCCTGCCCTGGCAGAATTCAGGGGGGCTGAGCCGACTGGGGGGGCCCTCGTGGCCCCAGGCCTTTCCCACATCTCATGCTCCCTGGGGGCCTCACCTGTCCCCGTCTCCAGACTTCCTGTCCCAGCCCCACCCCCGCAGCAGAACGGTGAACCTGACTTTTAGAAAGAGAATTTTATTTGGAATGAAAATATAGAGCCCACCCCGCCCACTCCTCCAAGGAGCAGGGGGCCGGGCGGGGGCGGGGCGATGGTCCCTCAGCGTGTAAGCTTGCCTGGGCACAGAAACCCTCCGCGAGAACAAGGACAGACGCCAGGCGGGGGCTCCAGCCTGGGCCCGCAGGATGGGTCAGGGCGCGGACCGGCCCGAACCTGCCCCGAAGGCCCTCAGCAGGGGGCGGGGCCGGCCAGCCCGCGGCGTGGCCTGCCGGCAGAGGCTAAGTGAGAGGGGGCTGGAGGCGGCGGTGGGGGGTGGCACCCGCGGGACCTGCGGTCCTACGCGTCCCCGTTCTCCATGCGGCCCAGATGCTCCTCCAGGCGGCCGATCCGCTCCCCCTGCTCCTTGACCAGCGCTCTCAGCGCCCGCAGCTCCTGCATCACCTCCTCCAGCTTCCCGGCCTCCTGCGGGGACGTGGAGGGTGGTCAGGGGTCCCGGAGCGGGAGCCCTCCCCAGATCCACTGCCAGGCAGGGACCCGGGGCTCCCCAACACCACTGCGGACCGCTGGGCACGTACCCCGGCTCCGGCGAGGCTGCTGCTGGGGGCGGCCGCGCTGGCGGGGGCCGCGGGTGTGGAGGCCCCTGAGCGAGCGGCGCCGGGGCCCACGGCGGGCCGGCTGTCGGACAGCACGTTGCGCCGGCTGACCTTCAGGTCCCGCTGCTTGCTGGGCACGTAGGCCTCCCGCAGGGAGATGAGGATGGGGCCGGCGTCCCGCCCGCTCACCCACTCCTCCGCCTCCAGCGCCGCCTCGGGCCCCGCCGTGTCAGGGTACAGATCATCCTGGAAGAGGTCCGACTGGGTGGGGGGCGGGGGGCAGGGGAGGTCTGGATCAGCGGGGGGCCCACCACCTGGGCCCTCTCGTCGGGACCCTAGGCGGCCACCTCCGCATCCCTCTCCTGGCCTGCAGGCCTGCACCCTGCCAGCCCGTTCCCCCGTGGCCCGGCCCCAAGTCCCCCCCTCTCTACACTCAACTCTGTCCCTTCACTTCCTCTCTGGACACCGTCAACAGCTCCCCCACCCCGAGGGCCCCCCAACATTCCCCAGCAGGGCTTGCTGGGGTCTGGGAGCCGCGCTGTGCCCCTGGATGCTGTGCTCTGGACCGCGAGTGCCCGGGGCAGCCCTGTCTGCCTCGTTCGCAGCTCGGCTCCCCGGGGTGCGCCTGGCACGCCGGGCGGCGCGCTCAGCAGACACTGGCTGGAGGAGGGCGGATCGCGTCCAAGGCTCTTGGCCGGGCATCTGACGCCCGGACACATGTGGCCCGATGCCCTCACTCTCGGGGGCCTCCTCTGCAGCCAGACTTCCTGTTCCTCTCGCCATTCCCCGCCCTGGCCTACCGCCCACCCCTGGAGGGCCCTGCCCAGCGTGCTGTCAGCCGGCCTCCGTCGGGAAGGCCTCCAGGCTCTGTCTCCCGGGCTCCTCCAGGGGAGGGTCTCAGCTCACCCGGCTTGCCCTGGGCCCGGCACAGCCCAACCCAGCCCCCAGCACAGCAGGGGACGCACTGGCGCTCGCCCAGCCCACTGACTGCACCCACTCAGCCATGACTCCTTTATGGGCCTCGCCCCAGTCCCCCCCCCCCCGCCCCGTGGCCTGACAGACAGGAGGGAGTGGACAGGGGAACCTGGCGGCCTCACCTTCCGTGGCACGGTCATGACAATGGGCTCGCACTTGCGCTCATGCAGTTTGTAGAACCTGGAAACGTGAGGGGAAGGAGGAGCCGTGGGTGCAGCTCCCCCCACACCAGCTCTCCTGGTTTCCTCTGCTCTCAGCTTCCTCACCCCAGCCCCCCCTAGACTGCCCCCAGGCCCTGGGGCCTCCTGAGCAGCCTCCCATCATCTGACCTCTGCCCCCTGCCCCCAGGGCGCCTCCCCCAAAGCCAGCCTCCTTGGTGGCCCCTCTTACCGGGCGATCTCACACTTGCTGACCTCCAGGCCCCTCTTGGGCATGCTGCCCATGCCCCTTTGGGGCTCTTTGCTGGTGAACGTGTTCAGGAAGTGGATGTAGGGGGGCTCGCTGGTAATCTCGAAGTACCGGATGCTGGAGTCGCCCTGCAGGGTGGCAGGGAACAGGTGTCAGCGCCCGGCACCCCTCCGTCCCGCCCCACCAGGCCCGGCCAGCCCAGCCCAGCCCCACCTTGCCACAGACGTAGACCACGTTGGTGTCGGGGTCATAGAAGGGCAGCAGGGCCCCATTGCTCGAGTCCAGCTCCTGCAGGGCCATGGGCTCTTCCAAGTTCTCCTGGCGAAGGGGCAGGGTCCCGTCAGGCCTGGCCAGGCCAGAACCTCTCCCCTCCCCTCAGCGCCCCACCCCTCCATCAGGACCATCCAGCCCAGCCAGCGCTGCCTCTGCCACACCGGTGGGCTCCCTCTCACCTCTGAGCCTTTGCCTGCACAGTGTGCCCCGCACCCCGCCTCCTGTCCGTTCCCAGGCGCCCCCACCCCCCCTCGCTGGCCTGCTCCAGGCATGCAGACTAACTCTCAGGCCACTGAGCAAGCGCTGAGACACCCCACCGCTCGGGAGCATCCGCTGGTCTCAGGGGCCCCCAGAGGTCAGGGCATGGAAGCAGAGCTCTGGGCGGGGGCTGGGAGGCCTCCTGCAGGAGGGGTCTCCGCCCTGGGCCTCACAGGACAGCCAGGTGGGAACAGGCCAGCCAGGAGAAAGACTTTGCAGTTGGCAGGAACAACGCGGACAAAGACTGGGTGACTGGAGGCAGTGGGGGAGGCTGGGGTGGGGGACAGGGAGAAGGGAGGCCGGTGGGGTTCCCGGTCCCGAGAGCCTCAAGTGCCAGGCCGAGAGCCTGGGAACCACAGGCACCTCCAGGGTGACCCCTGCCCTTCTCGCCCGGGTTGGGGCCTAAGTCCCCAGCCTGCCACCTCAGGCCAGTCGCAGCCACTCACCAGGTCCCAGAGGGCCAGCTGCCGCTCACTCATGCGGCTGAAGCCCGTGGTGAACACCTTGCCGTCCGCCAGGAAGATGGCCCGCATGGGCCGGGCCCCCTCGTGAGCCTTCTCCCGCTCCTGTCGGGGGACGGAGCGGTCGGTGCAGTGGCCCGATGGAGCCCCTGGCCCGTCCACCGCCACCCTCGCCCTCCAGGGCCACATACCGCCACCAGGGTGCCCCGGCGGGGGTCTATGATGCGCACGCTCTTGTCCTTGCAGGCGGAGCAGAAGAGGCTGCCGTTGTGGTTCCAGCTGACGTTGTAGATGAGGTCGGGGTGCAGGGTGTCCAGGCGGTACAGCTCCTCCGCCGTGCCCACGTTCCAGATGAGCACCACGTTGTCGCAGCCTGCGGGGTCGGGCGGCATCAGCCCACCAGGCTCCCTGCGACCACCCTCCTGGGACCAGACCCGACCTCTCGACCCCAGGAGACCTTGGCTCTCCCATCTTCCACACGGGCCCAGGTGGAGGTGCGGGAAGTTCCAGGGCTGTGCTCGGAGGGGGTGGGGGCGGGGGCGCGGTGCCGACCTGCACTGAGCAGCACGTTGCGGGCCGTCGGGTGCCAGGTGACGATGCCCACTCGCTTGGTGTGCCCCTCCAGCACCACCACCGGCTCCGTCAGCGGGGACACCAGCCCGTTCTCCGGGATCTGCCACACCTGAGGGAGGGGGAGGTTGCAGGTGGGGCTGTGCTCGGCCTGGCTTCTGACAGCCTCAAACCGCACGTGTGACCCTGGACCCGCCACAGCGCAAACCTCACCATGACTGTGCAGTCCTCTGAGCCGCTGGCAATGACTTCATCGTTGTGGGGACACCAGTCGATGTCCAGGACGGGTCCTGTGTGTCCACACACCGTTGGGTAGGCCTTGTCAATGCGGCCCGTCTGCGGGCATGAGGTGGGCAGTCAGTGGGGACTGAGGGCCCCCAGCCTCTGTCCCTCCCAGAGCCTCGGTCTTCCCCTCTGCGGCGCCGGGATGACGCGCAGCGCCTGGCCCACAGGTGGCCCCCATGTGACTGCCTCTCCTGGCCCACCTCTGCCTCCAAGGCATCGCCCGGTGGGCAGGGAACGCTCGTTGCCTCTGAGCCTGACCCTGTGCAGTAAGACTTTCTCCTCCTGGGCTGACACATCTCAGGCAGTAAAAGTGGACGTGACCCCTGCCCAGCAGTGCAGGGACAGGCAAGATAAGGGGTGTGGGGTAAGCAGGCAGGTCTAGCAGGAGTGGCCAAGCCACCTCCAGTCCTTCCCCCAGCCCGCACGGGCCCCACCTTGCTCAGGGGGAGCACCAGGAAGGCGCCCCCGCCGCTGGCCTCCACAATCACCGCCAGGAACTTGGGGTTGACTGCGCAGAAGGTGCTGTCCCAGGTGACCCGGGACACTCGAATGTCCTCGTAGCACTGGTCATTCTTGACCGGCTGTCCGAACACGTGCCGGAATTTGCTCTGCCGAACCACCTTTCGGAAGGACATGTCTGCAGCGTGCAGAGGCCTGTTAGCACCCGCCGACCCCAGCACCCCCCAGCCTCCCAGGGCTGCCTGGAGCCAGGTGGGGAGGATGCCCCTGGGCCTGGTCACTGTGACCCACCTAGCCCTCAGTTTCCCCTTACAGAATGGGGTCACCGGCACAAACCCCGGCTGCCGGCCCCCAGGGCCAAGAGGGAAACGCCCCCACGGCAGGCCTTGAGAGGCTCTGCAGGGCCCTTCCTGGGGCCCCTCGCTGGCTCGGCGCTGTGCGCGCCTGTGGGGCGGGGAGAGGCCGAAGCCAGCGCAAGCTCAGCTCTCCTGCGCGTCCCCGCCAGGTCTCACCAGACCCCTCCCGGCCCAGGATTTGAAAACTGGATGATGCGAACGGACAGAGGAGGCAGGGGCGATTTCTGCTGTCCGGGCCGCACTAGGCCCCAGTTACGCGTCCCACGGAATGTGCAATGTCCGCAGGAACGTGCAGGGAGCCCCCCCACCCCCTCCCCGCCCCTCGGGCCGGCCCCAGGGGTCCTGGCAGGACTGGGCGGGCGTCGGGACGCTGCTCCCAGCCGCAGAGCATCCCAGAGCCGCCTTGCAGCGGGGTCCAAGGTGAACCAGAAGCCCCACTACCAGGGACCCCGGCGCAGGAGGGGAGAGGCTGGGTGGCCACCAGGAGTTAGGACTGAGGGCTAGGCGCCGCGGAAAGGAGGGGCTCCTGGGATTCGCGACCTCCCTCCTCCAGCCCCGCGGCTCAGCCCCCGCAGCCCCGCCCGCCCCCTGCCTGCGCCCCGAGGCTCGGCCAGTCGCGCTCACCGGGGGCGCCGGGGACTGCGGCACCGGCCTCGGGCGGCTCCGGATCCCGGCCTCTGGGAAGCAGGAAGCGGGAATCAGGAAGTGACAGAGGAGAGGGGCGCGAGGGGCGGGGGCGGGGCTGGGGCTTGCGGGGGTGGGGCCGAGGTCACGCGCGGAGGGGCGGGGCGGGGCGGGAGGCTGCGAGTGGAGCCTGGAGGCCGGGAGCGCAGGGGCGCTGAGGGCGCGGGGGCGGGGCGTGGGCGGGGCCTTGGACGCCCCGCCCCGCAGGCTTTCAGGTCGCTCTGGGGCGCCGGGCTAGAGGCTGCGACAGCAGTGGGGATGGGGCCTGAGGGCCTGCAGCCGCGGTCCACGTCCCTGTGGCAGACCTTGCTCTTCCCAGGAGTGGGTAGAGCCCAGCCCTCCCGATCCCCCAGTCCACCCCAGTGCATGCTTTAGGGTTCCCCAGTCCACCCCAAAATATGTTGCCTACTGGGACGGTCGACATGTGAGCGTGCCCCCTTTTTAAGGTGCAGAAGTGTATAGCTCTTGTTTCACGATGGAAATAAAACAGGTGTTTTAAGGGAAGAGCGGAAGGCCCAGCCAACTCATTCTCCCTGATGAACGCCCCTGGGTCTCGCTGCCTCCTAATCACAAACAGAACCGGGGCCATGCTCCCCAGGTCCCTCACTCCTTCCTGCCTGTCCGCGGCCACCTCCCGCGGAGACCCGGAGGTCAGTCCGCAGACCTCCCTCCCACGCAGCTCCTGCGAGGAGGCGGCTGAGTCGTGCCTGTGGGTTTCTCAGGCAGAGCCTGCCTGCTCCCCCTGGGGCTGCTGTCCCCCTGGGGCTGCTGTCCCTGGGGCACTGGCCGCCTCCCCTCATTCCTTCTCGGAGCCTCCACTGCCCCGGATGACCAAGGGGTGATGGACAAGGAGGCCCCTTTCCTGAAACAGTGGGGTGCAGGGGGAGAAGGGCGGAAGTCACAAGGAGCTCTTCCCCGGCTCCCTGAAGCCCCCTGTGTGTCCACCTCGGCCGCCTCACCGCACCCTGCCGAGGACACAGCTCAGAGAGGAGAGGCACGTGCCCCAGGTCCCTCTCCCGGGACTCAGGCCCCACGGGTTTGGCTCCGAAAGCCCTTACTTTTCCCACTGCCCCGGAAATCGTGAGCAGGCCATCCCTCCAGCCCCGGACTCGGATGTGGGTGGTTGGGGAGAGGGCAGGCAGCACAGAGCCCCCCCCCCGCCCCCCGCTCCCTGGGTCAGGAGCCCAAACTGGACGGCAGCCACCGTCGAGGCCCACTCTGCCCAGCACCCCCCTTCACCTACTACTGTCCTTTCTCTCCACGTGGCCTGGTGACGCTGACCCTCCTGTGCCTGGAACGCACCACCTGCCTTCCCGCCTCAGCGCCTTGACGCCTCCTGCTCCCTGCGTCTGGAAGCCCGCTGCTTCCCCCGGGTCTTGAGAAGCCTCCGTCCCTCACGTCCTCCAGGCCTCTGCTCAGACGTCACCTCCTCCCAGGGCCTTCCCTGACCACCCCTGGCCCACCACTCTCTGGCCCTCACTTGTCCCCCCTGCGTTGTGCTGGATCGCCATCTGACGTCATATTACGAACTATTGTGTGTCCGCCTCACCCGCTGGGACATCCGCAAACTGCGGGCAGCGCCTCGTCTCATCTCCCGCCGTATTCCAGCACCTAGAACAGGAAGACCTAGCCCGCAGTTTGTGTCCCATGAGCACACGCTGAAGGAAGGAATGAACGAACAGCAGCCCCGAGTGCAGGACCAAAAAGTGTTCGTGTTCACAGCGCTCGGAATCCGTGTCTGGCCCCCACGACAGGGAGGGTGGGTGTCTCTTATCGGGAGAAGGGATGAGCTCCCCGGGGGACCACAGGAGCCCCGTGCCGCAGGGTGTGCTGGGGGAAGTGGAGGGGCTGCGGGACGTCGGAGGTGACACCGGCCCTCCTGTCCCTGAAACACACACCTTCCCTCCTCCCTCAGGGCCTTGGCACACACCCTGCCGCCCGCGTCCTCAGAGCCCTTCCTGTCCCTGCTCTTCCTCCTGGAGAGCAGCCGTCCACCATGGGTGGGGTTCCCCTTGGGGACCTTGGAGATGGGACTGGCCCAGCCTCCAGGGGGTGGGGTTCGGAGCCTGGACCAGAGCCGAAGGCAGGCGGCGGCGGGCACTGAGGTTTCGGTCTGCGCTCTGCCTGCCTTGCTGAAAAGACGTCAGGACCTGCAGCTGGGGGAAGGGGGAAGGGCCCTGCCGAGTGCCCCAAAGGGACACAGCCCACTTCTTGTCCTCAGTGGGGGTGCTGTTTGGGGAGGAGGGGAGGCAGGATGCTGCCACATGGGCTCTGGCCCGCGGCTCGGCACTGGTCCCAGGCCAGCGTGAGGCCTGGGGCTACAGGCTGGTAGAATCACACTAATGGCTGACAGTTACTCTGCACCAGGCAAAGATGCCAGCATTCACAGGGATTAACACTCCCAGGAAATCGGAACCATGACTATGCTCCCCAATTTACAGATGAGGAAACTGAGTCCCACAGAGACCAAGAGGCTTCCTAAAACATCACACAGCTGCTGAGCGGCGGAGCCCGGATTCAAACAAGACCCGAGGGCCGCCAGAGGCCTTGCTCCTACGCCTCCCCGTGTGTCTCCAACACGGAAGCCTGGCTGGCAAGGCACCTAGCAAGTGCTCAGTAACTACTTGCTGAGTGAATGAATTCGACAAGTTTGTGCCTGTCCAGAAATCACTCTCACCCAGAGGCCTCAGTGCCCCTCGGTCCCCTCGATCCCCTCACTAGGAGACGCTATGGCTATGCTGCTCTTGTCACCACCGCCCAGTGTGCTGCTGTCCCAGCACAGGAAACGACCATGACAGCCAACTTTGCCAGGACGACATTGTCACCCCGTTTTGCAGAGGGGAGCCCTGAGCCGGAGAGAGAGCCGGGAACGGGCCCAGATCGGCCGCCTGCACAGCCTGCTGCCTTTTGGAAATGCAGGCACCCCGGGAAGGGTAGCGAGTTGAATGTCATTGTCATTTACATCAATGGGTAAGGGCATTGCCAGACGGCTGAAGGTCACAGTGCTGAGCTAATGGGAAAAGGTGGGGGTGGGGGTGGGGAGGGAGCATGGTTTGGAAACGGAAGGGGCTGAGAGGAAGCCGTGTGGTGCGGTGGGCGCCAGGGGAGCGTGAGGGAAGTGAAAGGGAAGGGGCCAGGGTCAGCCTTCCAGCACTTCCTAGTTTTGGGTTTGTTTTGGTTTGGTTTGGGTTTTGTTTTGCAGTATCTGCAGCCTGAGAGGGAAGAGGTTGGCTGGCTACACCCCGGAGATGTTGTGTGGCCTCTGGGGACCTCTGCCCTTTCTGGGGCCACCCGTCCCCAGAGCTCTCTTCTCGGGCCCCTGAGCCAAGTGTGGGGGTGGGGGGGGTGCTCAGAGGGAGGCAGGCCGGGCGCGCTCCGAACCTGCAGCTCGCACAGCGTTGTGCGGCTGGAAACCAGCTGCACCCTTAAATGGAGCGAACTTGGGAATCCCCGGAGCTGCCCGAGGTGCAGAGGTGGCCCCGTGCTTTGCTCTCTGCGGCTACCTGGGTGTCCGCAGCCCAATACTGGTCACGGGCACAGCTGATGGGCCCCCCAGCTCACAGGATCCAGATGCTTAGGCCAGATGGTGCCTCCTCCCATCCGTCCCCAGCCCCTGCAGGGACATCTCTGGACGCCAAGAAAGGAAGGACATCTGTTCACTGAGTCCCTACTGTGTGCCGCAGGCTCTTGCTAGGCACCTTACACACGTTCTCATTTAATGCTCATGGTGGCGGATGGAACGGGGCCTCGGAGAGGGAAACAGCTTGTCCAGAGCCCCGGGAGCAGGATTGGACCCCAGGGTTCCGCTCCTGCCATCCCGCCCCCGCCCCACAGCTTGCGGGCTCCTGCTGGCTCCAGAGGGACCCCCTCCTCCACAGGGACTTTCTCCTTTGGCACCCTCGTGCCCGAGTCACTGGGTGGTACGGGGAGGGGGAGGTGGGGAGAGGATGGAAGGGAGTCAGATCGAGCCCAAGGAAGTCCCCCCTGCTGTCTGTCCCCGCACCAGCAAGGCTGAATCCTCACGGGGCCTGAGGGTATCGGAGGGCAGAGCCCAGCGGACACCATCGGCTGGGACCGTCCAGGGCTGTTGGGCCACCATGTGTGTGTGGGGGGGGCGGGGGTGGACGGGGGCAAGCATGACAGCGATGGAGGAGCTTGGTGGGACCCAGACAGGGACACGACGCTCACGACGAACTGTCTGGGACTTTCGGCCGCTCCGTTCTCACTTCCCCCGAGTCCTCCTGCAGGCCCCAGGGCCCGGCGGGGTTTTCCGTGATGACTTCCTCCACGGCGCCCTCCTCTCTGACGGGCCGGTTCCTCCATCTCCCTCTGGCCACCTGGCAGGCCTGGGCTCTCCCGGACCCTCACGTGGGGTCTGCTCCAGGAGCCTCCTCCGGGGGGCCACTGCTGGGGCTCCCTCCCTCAGAGGCTGCTGGCGCGGCTGGGTTCTCGGGGGCCTCTGGGCTGGGATCCTGGGATGGGGCAGAGGAAGCTTCATCGCAGGGGCTGGGGGCTGGGCTGGCGGCAGGTCCAGGGGTCTGGGCCCCCGGGCTGGCCTGGGGCTGGGCCACAGGGTCCAAAGCAGGCTGGGTCTCACGGTCTGCCCGTGGCTGGGCGGGCGAGTTCAGCTGGGGCTGGGCCACAGAATCTGACTGTGGCTGGGCCGTGGGGTTCACCTGGGGCTGGGCCACAGAATCTGACTGTGGCTGGGCCGTGGGGTTCTCCTGTGGCTGGGCCGTGGAGTTCAGCTGAGGCTGGGCCATAGAATCTAATCGTGGCCGGGCCGTGGGGTTGTCCTGTGGCTGGGCCGTGGGGTTCTCCTGTGGCTGGGTGGCGGGGTTCGCCTGGGGCCCGGCCTCGGCACCCGGCTCTGGCACCGTCTGCCCCGCAGAGTCCGCCGGGGTCTGCGGCTCGGCCGGCGTGAAGCTGCCCGGCCGCTCCTCGCAGAGGGCTGCCGCGAAGGAGGACAGCACGGCGCGCAGCAGGGCCCGGAGGTCGGCGCTGGCCAGGAGGCAGAGGAAGGGACTGAGGCAGCTGTTGAGGAGGATCAGGTAGTCGGAGTAGACCAGCGCCTCCCAGAGCAGGTAGCCAGGGTAGATGTCCCACAGGAAGGCCAGGTACAGCAGCTGTGCCAGCTGGTAGGGCAGCCGCAGGACCACGTAGGCCGACAAAATGGTCTTGGCCACCCGGGCGAAGCCACGGCAGGCGGGGCTCGGCTGGCGGCGGCGGCAGCACGTCTTGCAGGAGGCGGCCTGGGCGAGCACGTGGCAGACGAGCAGCAGGAGGAACGGCAGGAAGCCCCCCAGGATCTCCAGCATGCGCAGCGGCAGCTCCTCGCTGTCCCAGAAATCCAGGCAGATGACCAGGTCGTACCACCACACGACGGCCTCGGGGAAGACCAGCCAGGGCACGCTGAAGAGCGTGGCCAGCACCCAGACCCCGGCGCAGACCCAGAGGGGCAGGCGGACCGGGCGGCGCCCGGGGTACCAGCGCGGGCACAGTGCCAGCAGGCACCGGTCCAGGCTGAGGGCCGCCAGCAGGAAAAGGCCCGAGGAGTAGGACACACCCCACAGGAAGTAGTAGAAGCGGCAGGCCGCCGTCCCCAGCGGCCAGTGCCCTCCATGCTGGATCTCCAGGATCTGGAAGACCGCCGCCGCCAGGAACAAGAAGTCAGAGAGAGCCAGGCTGAGCAGGAGCAGGGCCAGCCTCGTGCCCGCTCCCTGTCGGGCCTGCGAGCCCGCCAGCCACGCCATGAGAGCATTGGCTGGCAGCCCCAGGAGCAGCAGGGCCACCAGGAAGACCGTGTCCCAGCTACCCTGCGGGTAGTAGTCCTCGTCCTCGAGTTCCGTGCGGGGCCGGCGGCCAAAGACCCCCAGGCTGGCTTCCATACTGTCCATCTGAGGTCCCCAGGGTGGTGCTGGACGCAGAGTGGGTGCCTGGCAAATCAACGAGGGCATGGGTGACTGGTCACGAGAAGCGCTCTGCGTCTCTAGGCGAGTCACTCTCCCTCTCTGGGCATCGCCATCCCCTTTCGAGTAGGTGCCCTCTACCAGGGCCTCTAACGGACTGCCTCGCTCAGTCCTCATGAAATCCGTTTTGGAGGGGACGAGAGGAAGAGTCAGAGGGCCAGTGACTTGGCCAAGATCAGAGATAGGAAAGGAGACACCAGGACTCGAACTCAGACCCGACCGTTCTGCCCCTCGGAATCCCAGTGTGTGCAAGTAGGCTAACCCAGGGGCTTTCGGACATACGTTTCAGGCTGGTGAATCTTTTCTTTAAATAAGACATTGCGGTTCCCATGAACTAAGAAGGAGCGGTGAGATTAAAGGAAGGGAGAGTACCGGTAGGGCCGCGGGGAACACGGTTTGCAAACCACTTGGTCAGATCTTTGCAGACGCCTTTTGTCTGGTATTCTGGGGCTCAAGTGTTTAAAAGTCCAGAAAGGCAGGACTCCGGTCTCATCAGTTCCACAGGAATCCAAGGGTGCCTGGGAATTGGGGGCGGAGGAGGCCCCTCCCCCCACCCCTGCAGCTCCTGGCCTCGGGTAAGGTCTGCCGCTCAGGGCCACGCGGCCTGGGGCCAGGAGGGCCGTCCAGTCCCGGGAGCAGCTTGCACCTCTGCCTCCTTCTCCTGCCTCACCGGGCCCTCTCCCCTCCTCCTAGCTCAGGTGGAGGTGGCCCCATTTGTCCCGTGGGGCTACTAAGCAGAGCAGGGGCGCAGCAGTGTGGTGCGGAGGAGGGTGGCTGCTGCCCCCCACTTCCCTCCATGGTGGGGGACTCTCCCTCTCCGGACAGAAAGCCCCAATGGCGGCGGAGAGTCAGGGGACGCCCCAGAAAGGCCGCATCCGCCTGTGGCCTGTGGCTCCAGCCACTTGGCCTTCGGCCCAGGGGCCTCTCCCCACCCCCCACCCAGGCCTCTTCCTCAGGCAGACCCCACTCCGCAAGCTCCAGCCCCTGCTGGACCAGAGCCCTGGCTCGGCTTACCTGGGAGGTGAGGCTGCTGGCCGGAAGGAGCAGGGCGTGCCTGCCTGCCCCGAGGTCCCGCCGTCTGCGGGGCCTCACACCGCGGCCTGCTGCATGGCGCCGGGCGGCGCTAAGGCGGCCGGCCTGAAACCCAAGCTGAGGACATTAATCATTCATGGGGCTGCTCACCGGGAAACCCTAACCCCTGCCCAGTGGGGCCGAGTGGCCGGCCAGGCCCCACATCTTTGACAATGCCACATGGCTGACACCCCCTCACCCGGACTCCTCCAGCACAGCGCAAGCAACGGGCCCCCCAGGACCCACCTCCTCTGACCTCACCTCCGTGCCGCTAAATCCAGAGTTCAAGGCCTCCGTTCCCCAATTTCACGCACCCTCTGCTCCAGCCAGGGTGGCACCCACAAGGGGGCCGCCGTGGGCAATTCACCCCATCGTTGCCCCCCTCCCAGCCTTCGCCCAGAGTCTTCCTCCTGTCTGAGAGCCCTTCTCCTGTCCTCTCTTCGCTCAGCGCTGCCCTCATCACACCGCGGGGCTGATCCCTCCACCCTGCAGCAGTGTCGCTCCCATTTTACAGGCGAGGCAACCGAGGCTTGGAAAGGCGACTTGCTGGGTCTCCCAGCTCACCAGTGGACGGAGCTGTAGCCCGAAGCTCATTGCAGCCACCACGCCCTGGCACCCACTGTTGCTGAGAACCGTCCTCTTGGCCCATCTGCCCCGGCCACACGGGGCAGAGGGCCCCGGGTAGGGCCTGAGCTGCCTCTGTCACTCAGCCTAATCCGCCTCAGGGCCCCGTCCCAGGCCGTGTGCTCTCTGGGTGCATAAGCAGCTTTACGGGCCCTGAGAGCCAAGGGTGCTTCTTGCGCTGTGTCTCTGAGCCCCGTTGCCTGTCTTCGCATGGCCACGGAGCAGGCGAGGGGGCAGCATGGCCCAGACCTTGCTCCCAGCCCCCAGAAGCCCCCCGTGGGGGTCACAGCTCCCAGGAGTGGTGCTGAGGGGCAACCCTTGACCAGGAGAAGCAGCAAAAGGGAGAGGGGGCCCCGAGGGTCCCAGAAAGGCGCCGACGGCTCTGGGAGGCAGACCCCCGTCCAGCACCCTGAGGCCCCCGGGAGCAGCAAGCAGGCCTCTCGGACAGGAGGAGGGCCGGAGGAGGAGCCAGCCCCTGCAGCCCCGGGGGCAGCCTCTCGGCGCCAGTCCCACCGGCACCGTCCTGTCCCGCACCACGATGCTGCCCAGAAGACATACGGGCCTCTGCTCAACCGTGTCTTTGGGAAGGTCAGGAGGGGCCTGGGCAGGGCTGGGGGGCCTGGAGGGGGTGGGGAGGGGGCCTGTGCCCTCAGGTTCAGCCCACCCTGCCCCTAGAGCTCAGGCCTCCTGCCTCTCCTGCTCTACGCTCTGGAGCCTGGCTGGGAGCTTGGGTCTTGGGCCAGCCTGGGCAGCGGGTGGGCCTAGACCTCAAACCCAGGGTTCCATGAGAGCTCAGGCCCCAGGGGCAGGAAGAGGAGGGGTCGTCTCTTTTCCTGGGGCCCACGGGACTTCAGCTGCCTTCTCCTGTCCTTGTGGGACTGGCCCAGTCCAGGCCAGCGCGGGCAGGGGCTAGAGGAGGCTGGCCAGAGTGCTGGCCGGCCCTGGGGACACGCTGGCCTGTGCCTCCACAGGATCGCAAGCTGGGCCCCGAGGAGCTGGCCGGTGAGTGAGCCTTGCTGGCGGCAGGAGGTGGGAGGTGTCCCCGAGCTGGGCTCCTGGGCCTGACCTCCCTCCCCCGCAGAGCTTCAGGCGGCCTTCGAGGAGTTCGACACGGACCGGGACGGCTACATCGGCTACCGGGAGCTGGGCGCCTGCATGCGGACGCTGGGCTACATGCCCACGGAGATGGAGCTCCTCGAGGTCTCGCAGCACGTCAAGATGCGGAGTCAGTGCCTCGTGCCGCTGCCCAGGGGGTGGGGGGGCGCTCTGGGCGCCCCGCAGGCGTGGTGGGGGTAGGGCGAGGGGGGGACAGTTTCCAGGGCAGTTTGGCAGTTTGACATCGGCCCCGTCGGATGCAGGGACACCGGGGTGCGAGGAAGGCACCGGGGACCCAGACACACAGGCCCTTGGGGCTCTGCAGGGCCGCCGGCTGCAGAAGCCCTCCTCCGCGGCCGGCCCTCGTGACGCAGCGCCTCCTGCTGGCACCGCCCGCACTCTCGGCCTCTGGCTCCCACAGAGAGCCCCCTGGGGTGCGCTGAGGCCCAGCGTGACAGAGTCCTGGCCCTCGCCTGTGATTCAAGGAGGGGTGGGCGGGCGCCGTGTGCTTCTCATCGGCTGGTTTGTCCAACAGCAGATTCCCTCCGCTCCGGGACACCCGCCCTCGTGTTACCTTTGCGATCCACAGTGGGATGAGGCGCACCGTGAATGTGCACATTTCGGTTCATGCTTCTCTTCTTTTCCTTTCTTTCTCCTCCCAAAGCTGTTATTTAACCATTTAAAATTTTTTATTTATGTATTTATTTTTAGGGAAAGGGGAAAGGAGGGAGAAACAGAGGGAGAGAAACATCAGTGTGTGGTTGCCTCTTATGTGGCCCTCACTGGGGACCTGGCCTGCAACCCAGGCATGTGCCCTGACTGGGAATCGAACCAGTGACCCTTTGGTTCACAGCCCATGCTCAGTCCACTGAGCTACACCAGCCAGGGCTATCGGACCATTTTTTTAATACATGACGGCATCTGGGAACCGAGGGGAGACATGGGTGTGCTTCTTCAGGGGCGTTTGTTGCTGCCCACAGGGACCCGCCCACTCGGTAGCCGTGCACTGCAGCCTGAGAGCACCGCCGGAGTGGGTTCCCTTGCCCGCAGCCTAGGGTGAGGAGGGCGGTTTACTCGGTCACCCAAATCCACTCACCACGAGGTGGCAGAGCCAGGGCTCAGGCCCAGGACCAGCTGGTTCCGAAGCCCGCTCTTTCCCCCACCCCCGAGTGCTGCACCACGTGCACCCCCAGCCGAAAATGGGGCCCCTGCCCCCTTACCCCCTCCAGGGTAAGAATGCTGGGTGTTCTTCCCTGGAGGCAGAGCCAGGAGGGACTGGCCCTGGTGATGTCCCTCCCTGGGCCCCGGCCCTCCACCGTGACGCTCTGCTTGGGTCTGCAGTGGGCGGCCACGTGGACTTTGAGGAGTTTGTGGAACTGATGGGCCCAAAGCTGAGGGAGGAGACGGCGCACATGCTCGGGGTGCGGGAGCTGCGCATCGCCTTCCGAGAGGTGCGGGGCGTGGAGGGGTGGGCGGGCCGTGCGGGGTGGGACACTGCCTTAGTGGTCTCCCACCCACGCCAGGGGAGGCAGAGAGTGGAGTCCTCAGCCTCTGGAGGCACAGGGCCCTGCGGAGGGTGGGGCTGGGGCCGGGGAGGGGTTGGAGAGGGTTTGGCTCACTCCAGCTTGGGGCAGGGGCTGGTCCACCCAGGGAGACTTCCTGGAGCAGGAAGGCAAGAGGGCATCTGAGGACAGCAGATGCAAAGGTGGAGGTGGCTCTGGGTGGGAGGGGCTGAGTCCTGCTGGGACCCTAGTTCGACAGGGACAGGGATGGACGGATCACTGTAGCCGAGCTGCGGCAGGCAGCGCCGGCCCTGCTGGGGGAGCCGCTGGGGGATCCTGAGCTGGATGAGATGTTCCGAGACGTGGACCTCAACGGGGACGGCACCGTCGACTTCGATGGTGAGTTTCCTTCCTAGACAACCCCCCCGCCCCGCCCCCTCCAGCCCCTAGGCTGAGCCCCGCAGCTCCCGAGACCCCTGACCCAGTCGGTCCCCTCTCTCCCACAGAGTTTGTGATGATGCTCTTCACTCACTGAGGCTCCAGGCGGGGGACCGCCTTGTCCCTCTGGCCCCAGACCGGCAGGGTCCCTGCTGCACGTCACCCCCCCTCCCCCCGGGAGGCCCCAGGATGAAAGAGACCAGCAGCTGAAGCTTCTCCTGTCCCTGACAACACCTGGCTGGAGCGCCGGCTTGTGACGGCACCCACCCACCCTCATCCTCGCCTCCTTCCCACCCGGAGAAAGGAGGTTCCAGGAGAAAAGCGACAGTCAGCTGCCTGGCATTCCCTGGCGAGAGCAAGATTTGGGTCTCTGTAGGCCCTCGGGGGCGGGGGGAGCTCCCCACACTGGCAGCATTAACAAATGGGGGTGGGGGGGGAGAGGGCAGCTGGACAGGACCCTTCCCACTACTTAAGTGTGAAAGGATAGACATATTTTAAAGTTGCACCCGAGCCCTGACCCGTGTGGCTCAGTGGGCCGGGCATCATCCCGCAAAGCGAAAGGTCACTGGATCCATCGCCAGTCAGGGCACACGCCCGGATGCGGGTTCGGTCCCTGGTTGGGGTGCATAGGAGAGGCAACCGATCTATGTTTCTCACGTCGATGTTTTTCTCCCTCTCTTTCTCTCTCCCTTCTCCTCTCTCCAAAAATAAATAAATAAAATCTTTTTTTTTTAACGTGGAACTTGAAAGGAAAAAAGGGATGACCTTGGGTACCAAAGGAAAGAGAGAACTCCAAGCTGGGTGGCGGGAGGGAGTGAACCCTGGGGGCGGGGCTTCAGACCCGGAGGTCTGAGAGCCTGGGCTCTGGCACCAGGAGTGTCTGGCGCAAGGCTTGCCAGGGGCAGGGGAGCCAGACACGCCCCTGAGTACCCTCCAGGCCTCCAAGGGGTCCCCTGTTCTGGAGAAGGGAACCCAAACATACTCCCACCTACCAGCGCAGGGAACTGGCACGGGCACAGATGTCCAGGGCCCGGGGTGGAAACATTACCCTAGGGAACCAACCCAACACTCAGGCCTGTGCGTCGGGCAGGAGCGCGGTCAGGCCCCATGGCATGAAAAGCTGAAGAAATAGGAAAAAATGGCTGTCAAGGGCACTCTTTCTACCCAGGGCACACAGGACTTAGAACACACACACACACACACCCGCACCGTCACTTCTGAAGGTGAACTCGTGACAAAATATTACAAAGCACATAAGAAAACAAGCCACTTTTAGGGAGCCTGGGCGGATAGAACAACCAGGAGAATCGGTGCCCCAGAGTGTAAGTAATAGGACCATTTAAAAGAGACCATAAGCCCTGGCTGGCATAGCTCAGTGGATTGAGCTCGGGCTGCGCACTGAAGTGTCCCAGGTTCGATTCCCAGTCAGGGTACATGCCTGGGCTGCAGGCCATGACCCCCAGCAACTGCACATTGATGTTCCTCTCTCTCTCTCTTCTCCCTCCCTTCCCTCTCTAAAAATGAATAAGTAAAATCTTAAAAAGAAAGAAAGAAAGAAAGAAAAAAGAAAAAGAAAGAAAGAAAAAGAGACCATAAAGTAAATGCAAAAAAAAAATTGAGATAAAAGAAGGAAGAGAGACCAATATGTAACAACAGGACAGGATTAAGACTGCACAGGGAGATTAAAAAAATAACACAATAGAACTTCTAAAAACAAAATCTGTAGCCGTTGGAATGAAAAGAAATCCATGGAGGAGTTCAACAGCAGATTAGAAACCATTTAAGAGAGGATTAACAAATTGGAAGCTATTACCTGAAAATCACCATAATGTAGCACTGAAGGATAAAAAGATGAAAAGTTGTAAAGGATAATTAAAAGTCATTAGGAGTCTTAGAAGGGGAAAATAAAGAGAAGGAACATGAGGCAATAGTCAAAGAGATGATGGCTGAAGATTTCCCATAAAGATTCCCACAAAGTCAAGTGCTCGGGCGGACGGAGCACATTGCAGCCAGAGAAGGAGAAATTAAGTTAAGCGTGTGCCTAGATGCATCCCGGGGAAAACTGCAGAAGACCAAATGAAAGTGAGGGGTTCCCGTCTGCGTGCTCTCACTGAAGGGATGGCTCTAGTAAGAAGGACATTTATGCCCTGGCTGGTGTGGCTCAGTGGCTTGAGTGTCAGCTTGTGAACTGGAGGGTTGCTGGTTCGATTCCCCATCAGGGCACATGCCTGAGTTGCGGACCGGGTCCCTGGTTTGGGGGTGTGTGAGAGGCTACCATTTGATGTTTCCCTCCCTGTCTTTCTCCTCCCTTTCTCCTCTCTCTAAAAATAAAATAAATAAAATCTTTTTTAAAAAATTTAAACAGGAAGGAAATTTGCTCAGGAATGAAGGCGGAGCACGTACTAGATAATAGTCAGGAAAGAAGCCAGTAAACACGCTGGCGGATCTAAAGAAGCATTTACTATTAAAAAAAAATTAATTTGGAGGATTTTAAAAATAAGGAGAGACTGAAATAAAAGACAAAAACCAAATGGAAGGTGGAAGGGGATGCTTTAGACATGCCAAAATCTTTTTCTTGTTTTCCCTACAGGATAGACTACTTGATTGACTTTAGATGTTTTTAACCACTTAAGGGTACGCATCCATATACTATAAATAGGGGTAGGATGAATCACGGAAGAGGAAAAGGGGGAAACGAAGAGCTCTCGTTGAAGTGAGTAGAAGGCCGGGGAGGTGGGGAAAGCAAAGAAAAACAGAGTCCATTGAAAATATTAAAACAGAAGGTAGAAATAATCCTTAAAAGAACAACAGCTATAAAAGGTTAAGTTTTCCAGTTAAAAGCAGGAGTCTCAGCCCCAGAAGAAAGTATCAGTTTTAGACTGGGTTCCTGGTGAGTGGCAGAGACCCAACGCAACGACGCCTTAAACCAGAGAGAAGTTTATCTTCCCCACAGGAAGTCTTAGACAAAACCCAACCACAGGGTCTTCAGGGACCTGGCTCCTGCTGGCCGCTGGCCACTCCTAGGGTGGCTCACGTCTGCCTTCCAGGTGGCAGGACGGAGGCAGGAACGAAGGAGAAAGGAGGCCAAGCACGTGAACCACATAATTACACCCCATTAGGTAGGGCTCCTCGCCCGGTACACCTAGACGCAAAGGATGCTGGGAAGCGCAACCCTTGTTTGAGGTTCTACAGCTACAAGGGCAGAGGGCAAACGCCCAAGGGCGGAGACCAGCCTCTTCCCCGCAGCTGAGTGCAGGATAGAGGACACGCGTCCGAAGCGCAACGGCCACCGCGAGGCTGAGAGTGAAGGCTAGGAGAAAATGAGCCGGGGGGAGGCGTGGGCTTGAGGCGGAAAGCACTAGAGAGAGAGAGAGAGTCACGGCTCCCTGGGGAAATCCGGCGTTCCTCGCGCACGCGACTGGTAACGTGTTTCCCGAGTAAACGTAAATTATGTTTCGAGTTTGGATACTCCTTCTTCCCTGGGGAGAGAGCTGCTGTCAATCCAACTTGGGTGACATGCAAAAACCAAGCACATCGGCTCCCTCACAACTTGAAACGTTTCAATTTCGTGTTCCGTCCAAGGGCTCCTGTAGCTCCAGGGCTGGCAGATATTTTCTCAGAAGGGCTGGACAGCAAAGATGGGGGGCTCGGAGGACCGCCCGGGTTTCGCTGCAGCCGCGCACTCGGCCCTCGGAGTTGCTGTTGCCCAGCAGCCGGAGGTAACATGTAAGCAAATGGGTGTGGCTGGATTCGCGCTTCAATAAAAAATAACTAATTAAATTCGACGCATTGACCCTGAAATTTGAATTGTATCAAGTTTTTAAAAAGATTTTATTTATTTATTTTTAGAGAGGGGAAGTGAGGGAGAGAGAAACATCAATGTTGCTTCTCAAGCGCCCCCTACTGGGGACCTGGCCGGCAACCCAGGCATGCGCGCTGACTGGGAATCCCACTGGCAACCCTTTGGTTTGAGAGCTGGTGCTCAATCCACTGAGCCACACCAGCCAGGGCAAATTGTATAAAGTTTTATGTATCACAAAATCCTATTTTACTATTCTTTGACTTTTTCCCAACTGTTATAAAAATGTGAAAACCCTTCTTAGTGTTGGGGCTCTACTGGGCCTGAGGGCTGTAGCTTGCGGGTCCCTGATACAATAGTCTTATACTGTGGAGAATCACCACTTCTGGGATCATTGTAGAAAAACAAAAAGTTATGAACGTAGTAGCAACTCTGCGTAATAATTTGCTGATTTGCAGACTTTCAATGAGTGTTTTTGGTGATTTTTCTTTTTTCCTATATTCGTTCTGATTATATTTATTGGACTGTAATTTTATGTCTGATAACAAACTGTGGGTTTGATACTGTGTGTCTTTTTTTAATTTCACTTTTCTAGTTTTTGTTTTATCTTAATGTATTGGTCTCTGATAAAGTTAGAAATGAAAATTGGTTTTCAGTTCAGCTACTTTGAGAAGCACTGATTTAGGAGTTCCTGCATCCAGGTGGTGCCCCCGAAAGTGCCTTGACTGGGGGGCTGAGGGTGGGAAGGCCGGGTGGTCCGGGAGAGCAGGGGCCTGGGTGTTCATTTTTTTTTGTCAAAGTCACAGAAATCAAAAGGCACTGTCCTGCCTGCTGCATACACAGTGGAGGCCAGGCCAGGCCAAGTTCCCTCCTTTTTTTCTTCAATTAAAAAAACATTTTTTAAAGATTTTATTTATTTATTTTTAGAGAGGGGAGGGAGAAAGAGAGAGAGAAACATCAATGTGCGGTTGCTGGGGGCCGTGGCCTGCAACCCAGGCATGTGCCCTGACTAGGAATCGAACCTGCGACACTTTGTTCGCAGCCCGCGCTCAATCCACTGAGCTATGCCAGCCAGGGCAATTAAAAATTTTTTTTAAAAGATTGTATTTATTTACTTTCAGTGAGAGGTGAAGGGAGGAAGAGAGGGAGAGAAACATCCATGTGTGAGAGATACGTGGATCAGTTGCCTCTCACACATCCCCAGCTGGGCACCTGGTCTGCAGTCCAGCCCTGGGCTGTGACTAGGGATCGAACTGGCAACCTTCCTGTTCTGCGCTCAGTCCACTGAGCCACACCAGCCAGGGCCCAAGTTCCCAAGTTCCTTCTTAATGGCACTCACGTGTTTACTGGCTGGGGGGGGGCAGACTGTAAACACGTGATTACACGAACAGGGTCTAGCTGGCCCACACCTGTCCGTCCAGACCCTCAGTTGCTCGGTTGGTGACCACCGGCCGGGTGACCTTCCCCTCCCCACCGGTGCATGGAAGCCCTGGGTTATGTTCCTAACCTCGTCCACTGGTGAGTCAGTGTCTCTGGGTCTCAATTTCCTCAACTGCGAAGTGGGGCTGAGGAGGTGAGGGCGGGAAATAACTGGTGTTGAGGGCCC